TCAAAATTCCGAAAAAAATTTTTTTTAAAATATAGTTTTACCTATTTATTTATGAAATAGTTCATTAAGAAAAAAGTATCGATCGTTTTTGCTAGTCATTTCTTTAAATAACTATTACTTCGAAGTGCTCCACTGCGTACCATTTTCCCACTCTTCAAGTGCCATTCGAAGTTTAAGACTGCAGGTTTAAATTTCATACACTGAATTTAATTAACCATACGTTCTATTTTTTAAGTCTAATTTATAACGTAGAATTCTCACTTTAATCTCAAATACTAAACCACTAATGCAACATAATCATTATTCAATTATCAAAAAAAGTATATCCGTAAAAAAAGCTTAATCTTAACTCCTTCAATCATTTAAATGTCTCATCAAAAAAATAAATAATTTAAAATGGATGGAAAAGTCTGGATTTATCGAGGAAAGAATTTTTGTCACTCTTATAAACAAATAAATATCACAATCAAACCATCTTCTACATTTCATTTATCTTCTCTCAGTCATATCAAACGAGGAATAATGAGATATGCTTATTTAGAGTTACCAATTATGATGAATTGCTCGAGTTTGCAATTCAAATGTGACGTTGGATCGTGCATTGATATTGATCAACGTTGTGATGGCAGGGAACAATGTTCAGATGGCAGTGATGAAGGTGAATTGATTTTGATTAAATGATAATAAACAAATTAAAAGATTTGCCATCCAATTTGTTATTTAGATTAAATAAAGAAAAAAAATTTAGTTGTTGAAAGAGAAAAAAATTAGCAATAAAATAATGTAATGTGAATTGTAAATAAAAGTAAAATTATAACTCAAATACGCACGAACTTATATTCATATTCACTGTTATTTACCGAAAAATAATGCATTTACATGTGTATAAATTATATTAATATGTATGACTTTGACACAAATTAAGTCTGTTAAAATGTATCTTTAAAATGCTTTTTGGTAACATTAATTATTTTTTTTGTTAGCAATGCATTTAACATTAATTATTAAATTGTTCCAAAATGAAGGAATAATGAATAACAGTAAAATAAATTAGGGAATTTCCTGTTAATTCCAGCCTACTGTGAATCAAAAAATAGAAGAGTGATATTGATCTCACCTCATGCAGTCCTTCTACCGGGCGACTCGATTAGAATATCAGCGGAAGTAAATGACGCTTTTTCACCTCACAAGGTATTTCGAAAACAGTTTCAACAGTTTTAAATCATTTTCATACACATTGATTACAACAATTATTTGACTTCTTTCTATAATTTCTACCGTTCTTAGCTTACACGCAAGTTTTTTAGAAAGAAACTTAGAATCCCAACTTCTAAATTTTTAAGTTTAATTGAAATGATTCCCATATAATTTGCGATAACTGACTGGAAGAATTGATTCAAGTCTTCCCAATTAAGATCTAAGTAATTCATTAAAATATATCAATTTTAGGAAATAGAATTTCGGTGGTGATTGCAATTGCTTCAGGCATTTCAGGCTCGATGGCTTCACAACGGCAAACCGATAGAATATGATGACCAAACAATACGATATTACAATACCTCAATGAAGTATTATTTGCTGATTGATAATATTAGCAGTGATAATAGTGGCGTATACGAGATGGATATCGACGGTATCACGGAAGCGATTACTATCAATGTTTCAACAAATGGCGGGATTATCAAAAAGCGATGCTTCGAAAACAATTGCACAGGTAAAAATATAATTTTATGTTAAAGAAAGGGAAAATAAAACGAACAACCGCAATTTTGCCACTTCATTTCAAATTTCGTCGCATTGCGACTACAATTCGTGAAAGTTACGTTTGAATAAAACATAAATCATTGATTTTTTACATTCTTCAATCCTTCCATTAATTTCATTTTTTATTCAAGAATTTTAATATTCTTTTCTTTTGTTTTGAAAAAATGTTAGCTTAAATGTATAGGACTAGCTACCATAACTTTTATCATTAACGGACAGAGTGTAAGAAATGATCCTTCTGACTGACATTCATCTAATTAATATCATCTTTCAAACTTTTTTCCGGAATTACTTAAATTATAAAAATGATAAGGTTAACACCAAAGGTAGTATTAGTCTTATATACACCTGTCAATGAAGCAAATGATTCTATTTCATAAATAAAATATCGACCGGATACTTTATGGGTCAACAATCATCATTTTTGGGATTTCATTTTAATATTTTGGTGAAGACTGATTGCTTGTGCACATTCACAAGAGAATAGAATTTAACTGAATTTCCATCACGGATACATCGTTTTCCGGTTTTTGCATGGAATATTTCTTCCTTTTAAATTAGTGCAAAAATGAGGGGTCAAATGTTTAATATGTCTAATTGAGTCTGAGAAGTAGAGAAGTCGCAAAAATTATAAGTTTTTAAAAAAACTATTGTTTTTGTGATTCATTGCTTGAAATCTGCGGAATACTCTTTCAAAAAACATAATTCATTGTTTTTTTAAATATATCAATTGAAAGCATGAATTTCAAATTTTGATGGATAAAGTTGTAACAAATTAAAAAATATTAATATTGATATATTATATA